CGCGCACAGCACGGTCGTATTACGAAAACATCTCCCGAGTAACAAGACACGAGACGCTCGTCGCGGCCTTCGGCGAATTCGAAAAAATTCGCCAGCAAAATTCGCGGGACACCCCGTATGTGTACCGCGCCCCGGATAACGGCTCTCGTTTGTGCACCTTGATCTTTTCCGCGCGCCGTGCCAAGTGGCACATCTATATTTACGCACGCACGCACGTGCAAGCGCGTGCGGAGAAATCAAATCGAATCGCCTGGAATTTTTAACCTCTCGCCCCCCTCCCCTCCCCTCTCCTCCGTTACTCTCTTACCTCCAGGTATGATTTATTTCGTCTTAATTTACGCGCCGCGCCGTGGATCCTGCGCGTGGACGGATTCGACGAATCCCGACGAAAATTGCGCTGTTTAATTAAACCGTGGTGCCGGGCACCACCCGCGCGTCACGAGTTTCTCGCGTTGCAGATTTTGTAACGCCGCGAAACGAGGTATCCGGTTCTAAAACAACGAAATTGGGTTAACTCCCACTCTCGGAGTTCCCGATCCTTACGTTACACGCGGTCTAACGTTTCCAGCGCGACTCTCGCAATGGGTTCGGCTGGCACACACAAATACACGGGGGTTTATTTAAATTATTACACCGACCGCGCTCTATGTGTTTAACCGTCGACAACGGTGGAACATTAGTGCGGCAGAATCGCCGATCGATCGCGCGAAATATCTATTAAATTATTTCTCTCGTTTTCTCGATTATCCGCGTATTTTCGACGTCCCGCGCACATTAAATATTCCGGATGGCTATCGTAACTCGCATTGCGCGAGGATGGCGATGCAGCAATTTAGCTCGAATATGTGTTTCATTGGATCAATGCGCCGCAATTATATTACGGAATAGAAGAGGAGGTGGAGGAGGATGGGGGAGAGGAGGATCGTTATTAATATAAGAAGAAAACTAAGATATCTCCTCGGCGAGATGCTCTGAATATGAAATTCTTCAAAACATCTTTTGAAGAAGCTCGCAAATAGAATCCTCATCAAGATCTCATCGAGATGATCTAAGAAACCGCGGCCGTTTTTATCGTTGACTTGGCTCAAAAAGGATTCTTAATTTCCCACGTTAAAATAGCGTAGCAAAAATAGATGAAAAAACTTATCTGGCTTTTAATAGCTAGGAATTGTATTAAAAAAATATGGACCCACAAATTATATCGTACGTGCCTGCAGATATAAATAATAATTTCGTCATAATAAAGTCAAATTTAAAAAAGACAGACTCGAGAGAGATATAAGTCTTGTACACAATATTCTAACATTCATCAAAAAATGAAAGAGATGCGGAACATTCGTTGTAGATACCATCATAATTTTTATCCGCTAGCTCGTCGATTTATTTACGATCTCCATCTACGCGACGAGAATTTATCGGTTGAAATCAAATAAATTTACCGTGACGTCCTCTGACATGTAGGATTTGTTCGAATCGCTGACAATGCCGAGCATCCATCCGCATTCCGACCGCGAAGATCGAGAAACGGGAAACGCGATTACGATTGCGTAAAGGAAACGCAACGTCGCTTAGGAAGTCGAAATCTCTATTGAATCCAATCGACGCGTACGTCGCGGCTGGTTATCGATACGAAAGGTCGCAAAGTCATCCCCGTTCGCGTGTCCACTCGCATGCATAACGATGAATTCGCGCAAATCGCCAGCATCCCGGATGCGTCGTCACGCATTCCACTAGGTACACCACGCAGTCACACCGCCGATTGTCCATGGTCAGTCAACGTAATCGCGCGTTCACCACGCGTTCGAGTTTTTCGTTATACAGGGTGTTTCGTGAGTCGAGGTCAATCACTCGAGAGACAAGTGATTGGGAACTCAAAAACAAGAAAGATAATATGAACATAGGAAAAATTGCTTTCCACTTATCGCCACTTTTACGTTGAAATTTGAAATTGTTCTGCTTTCGAGGTTTTTTTGTCAAAGTTGAAAGACGAGATGATCTTTATGAGTTTTGTAAGATAAGTAAAAAAAAAGAAAAGTTGTGAGTTGCTTTAACACTATTCAGGATACACGATTACAGTACTGATTTCTATCAAGAGACTCTGCTAAAGAGGGCCATATCTCCTTCTTTCTTTAATTTTGACAAAAAATTTGACAGCAAAGCAATTTGAAATGTCAACATAAAAATGGCGATAATTCGAAAATAATGCATTTCCGTATCTATATTCATATCAACTATTTTTCTTGTTTTTGAGTTTCCAATCACCTTTCGAAAGATTGACTTTCACTTTTGCAACACCCCGTATACAAGTTTTTCATTATGAAAGGTTGCACGAAAACTTTGCGCGCCTGATCCCCAGACCATAAAAATGACAAATGTTGTCACGGTACATGGACATCGTTTCAGAAATACCATCCCTTTGAGTTATGTTTACACCAGCCCGCGTATTCTCGCGGTAAAAAGGAGATATACATTAATATGATCGAATAATTTCGACCATATAATCTCATCAATGGAAAATATGATGTGAGAGAACCGATTGTTAATGCAACAAAATTCAACAGAACAAAATTGCCGTGCGAATAACTTGGAAGAGAGAAACTATAGGACGTTATACAAATCACAAGAAAATGACCCGCTACTTGTGATTTACGATGAATATGGTTTTTCACTGATTATTTTCGCACGCGAATATTTTCGCATTCTTTTCTGAAATCTTTTACCATTGTCGTCGCAAAATTGTTCCCGCCAATCAAATTACCACATCCCGCGATACTTTATGCATAAAAAGACCCTCGTTTCAGCTTTATTGCTCGTGAATTTCTCAATTGCGTAGCCCGGGGACTCTACGACAGGTAAAGACGGGCCAGCTCCATAAACGTCTCGCTACGTTGTAACATCCGCTTATGATGTAAAGGTCATAAATAAAAGAGGCCACCTGTGGTTCAACGAAAGCTATATGCGACGCACAGGTGCCCAAGAATGCAATGTAATCTTGGGACTCTTACGCATTCTCGCAAAC